GTAAAAAATTAAAAATCTACTTGAAGAAATAATGACAGAAAATTCCCTTCCCTGGTAAAAGAAATAGACTTACAAGTCCAGGAAGCAAAGAGAGACTTAAACAAGATGAGCCCATTGAGGCCCACACCCAGACACGTCATAATTAAAATATCAAAGATTAAAGGCAAAGGTTAAAGGCAAATCTTAAATGCAGCAAGAGAAAAGGAGTAAGTTACCTACATGGGAACTGATTTCCCAACAGAAACTTTGCAGGCAAGAAGGATGTAGCAAGAAATATTCAAAGTTATATAAAGCAAGGCATTACAATGATAGCAAAGCTATCATTTAGAATTGAAGATCAGATAAAGAGCTTCTCAGACAAGAAAAAGCTAAAAGAGTTCATCGCCACCAAAACAGTATTACATAAAATGTTGAAGGGAGAAAGGGAAAGACAAAGACAAAGACGAAGACGAAGGTGAAGATGAAGATGAATATGAAGAAAAACTGATTAAAATACATGGCAATAAATACATATCTATCAATAATTGAATATAAAAATCAAAATGAACAAGGAATGTAATGAGCAAAATAAACTGATGAATAAAATGGAACCAGAGGCATGGAAACATGGAACAAACCGTTGAATCTCAGATTGAAGCGGGGAGAGGGTGGGTGGGAAGAGATTAATAAAAAACCTTATTGGCATATATGCATTACCCATGGACACAAACAATAGGATGGTGAAGGCCTGGGGTGGGGTAGGATCTGGGTGGAAGAGGGCAAGGGGATGGGGGGAAAAAAGGGGTGAGACATCTCTAATACTCTCAACAATAAAGATTTAAAAATGAAAATAATATTCAGAAAGGCAAGAAGGCATCTAAAACTACCCCCAAAAGATCATTCATCACAGTGAACATTGTATCTGTGGGTAAATTCACTAAGCCATAACCTCAAAACATCCTCTAGTTCTCAGATGAAAAACACTAAAGCAGTTGTGAATCCACTTGTTTCAATGATCCCACTTAAGAAGGGAGGCAGTAGAGAAGAATAAGGGGCTCAGTGTTTCAGAGTACATACTGTTATGGTTAAACTACAGCTTTGCCTTTGATTAGTCATGTATCTCAGGTGTTTTTTAAATATATTTTTATTGATTTCAGAGAGGAAGGGAGAGGAAGAGAGAACAGAAACATCAATGATGAGAGAGAATCATTGACCGGCTGCCTCCTGCACGGTCCCTACTGGGGATGGAGCCCGCAACCCAGGCATGTGCCCTTGACTAGAATCAAACCTGGGACCCTTCAGTCTGCAGGCAAACGCTCTATCCACTGAGCCAAACAAGCTAGGGCTCAGGCAAGTTTCTTAACCTCTCCATTCCTTAGTTTCTTCACCCATAAAATGGGGGGAAACTTCCTAATTTACAGGGATGTGTAAAGATAAAATGAGATAATCTAGTACCTAATACATATTAATTTCACAATTACTTCAAAAATTCCTCAGTATGAAACTCCTTGGTCTTTGTATGCACACAATTCATAAAAGGTAAATATGTGGTACAGCAACCTTTCAGAGCAACCCCAATCAAATGACAAGGTAGGCCTGGGCACAGATCCCATAACTCAAAAACGTCTGTACCCCAAAAATTCCCTTATAGTCAGTGGAACACACTTCCCAATGCCGTGGTTAAATCACTGCTAACACAGGTGAAAAGCAGAGCTGAGCCTCAAACTGTGACCCGCCTGCTGCTCTATGGGGTAGGCGTGAGGTCCTGGGAGGGAAAGAACACAGTGACCCTGGGAAGAACACATCTCGCCACTGTAACACCTGAAGCTTACACTTTATGCTTGAGGACTTCAAGAACAACCTATTCTGTCCTGTACCAAGGGCCTCATAGCACTCACTGTATCAACACTGAAACACTGTAACCCATCACACACAGATTCTAAAATAAAAGTGTAAGATTTATTTCTATTTCATGAACATGCTTTTAGTGATATTCTTTCAAAAGCAGACTCTCAATAGTTGTCGGTATCTTAGTACCAACTCTCAATCTCCCTCTAACAAGAACACAGCAATAAGTATACCTATATACTCTAATAAGCCTAGTTACTTTAAGGAATAATTATCTTACAAAATATTTTATAGTTACCACCAAGTTGACTGGTCAGTCTTCTCTATGGGTTTACATAATTCACCTACTCCTTACTCAGGTAATATTGATCAGTAAAACTACCCAAAATTAGACAGGGAAAAAAAACTGAGGGAGACCCAGCTGATGTTGTTCAGTGGTTAAGCATCAACCCATGAACTGGTCAATGGTTCTTTTTCATCACTGATGTTTCTCTCTCTCTCTCTCCCTTTCCCTTCCTCTCTCTGAAATAAATAAAAACATTTTTAAGTGAGGAAAAAGAGTTTAGAAAATCTATAAAGTCAAATTGACAACATTTTAAAAAGTTAGCTATACACACTTACATTGCACAAATATGTATAAATCAAGATCTTGGTTTCCCAATACCATTCTCTGAAATGGGATCCGAGCTCCCCAGAGAAATGGCTGATCCTAGGGCTGGGGCAGGGAAAGAACAAGACAAGTCTGGAAGGTCTTACTCTAACAAAAACTAAGAAAGTGCTCAAAGGATGCCGGATCATGTTAAAAGGACAGGGAGCCATATTTACGGAGCTACCATAGGCCAAAGCGGGAATAATTAGAGCATCAAAATAAATAATGATAGTAAAAAATTATAATCCCTTCAATAAAGGATCCATAATTCCACTGTTATATAAACAAATGATCAAGTAAATGCTGTGGAGTGGGGCAGAAAGCTCTTCCTTCCTGTACAAAAACAGCTAACATACGTATCAGGAATGATGGAATAAGAAAAATCACCACCTACCAATCATCATCATCATCACTGATCAGGCAGGAATCATCAAAGAATGCTAAGCTAGCTGAAACTAGTTTGGCTCAGTGGATAGAGCAGCGTGCGGACTGAGGGGTCCCAGGTTCGATTCCGGTCAAGGGCATGTACCTTGGTTGCAGGCACATCCCCAGTAGGGGGTGTGCAAGAGGCAGCTGATTGCTATCCCTCTCTCTTCCTCTCAGTAAAAAAAATCAATAAAATACTTTTTTTTTTAAATGTTAAGCTAGTGGATGAAATTTTGAGAAGTAACAGGACATTCACATACCCAGTCTCAGAATACGCCTCCATAACATACTTTTCTATTGTAATTAAATTTGCAGAGCAGAAACTGGCAGGCACCATCTAAAACGATCTAAGTTATCGCTGCCAGTAATGGGGCTCATGGGCAGCAGAGCCTGCTGGTGACTTCTGTAAGTTCTCTGCCAAAAGGCATAACCTAAGTCTAATCATGAGAAAATATCAGAAAATCCTAACTGAGGGACATTCTATAGAATAACTGGCCTGTACTATTCAAACTTGGCAATGTGATAAAATACAATAAAGGACTCCAGATTAAAGAAATTAATTTCAGGTTAAAGGTATTGACTATAATATGATTTGAATTTTCTTTTGTTACAGAAAGACCTTGTTGGAAAAATTAAAATCTCAGTAAGATCTGTAAATTATGTAATAGCATTTTTTCAATGTTAAATCCTAGTTTCATCACTGTACTGTCATTATATAAGAGAATTCCTTGTTTTTAGGAAATACACACTGATATATTTAGAGATAAAGGGGAATCATGTCAGCAACCTACTTCTAAGTAACTCAGAAAGAAAACTGGGAGGGGCAGTAAGGAGAGTAAGAGAAGGAAAAAAAGGGGTGAAAGAAAACAAATGTACCAATATGTTCACATTTGGAAATCTGTGTAAAGAGTATCCACAAATTCTTATAACAATGTTTTTACAACATTGCTGTGCCTGAAATTATGCCAAAGTAAAAATAAAAAAAAAGTTGGATATAAAGTGATTCATCTGTCAAAACTCATGGACCAGCATGCTAAGATCTGTACATTATAACATGTATAAACTACATTTCAGTTAAAATAATTAAAGCTTATTCTAAATATTTTATCAAATATTGATGACTGGAAAACTTCAAAAATTGAAAACAGAAGTTAGAAACTCATCAAGAGCCCATCAAAATGGAGACTAACTTCATGTCCGCTGTTTTGGAGCGTGCAATGATAAACTAGCACCAGCTAGTCTGGTCACTTCCGTGATGACAGGGCCCCCAGCTCTCATGGCCTGCTGACTGTAGAATCAGGCCTGCACCCTCTGCCATCTCCCCAGGAGGCCCTGTGTGTGCTCAGCTCATAGTATCAACACCTCTCACACTATTGTTTAATGTGTTTATTTCGTCCTAAATGAGCTTCACATACTCCCTTACTAATCAACCCCCCAAAATACAGAAGCCCGTCACAAACAAACCTGGACCTTAAATGTTTTTAATTTTGAGAGAAAGAGAGAGAGACCACATATGGCAGGAATACTCCCTGAAAATGTTACAGAAAACCGGAGAAGAACCAAGCAATACTGGGAGAGATGGAGTCACATTTATTACACGGGCGGGTCCAGAGGAAAATGTCTCTCCAATTCTGGGCCCCAACATGGAGGAACTTTCCCTATTTATATGTTTTTAATCTTTTTTGTCTCCCAAATATGGGCTGTTTCCGGCCCTCTCTGCAAGTTCTTAAAGAGCCCTTAGGTGCTGGGGCCTTGAGACCTCAACCAAAGGCTCAGTTTCATCTGGGGAAGATGTAGTGGCCTCTCGGAAGTGGGAGTGGTCTTATTTTCCTTATCATTTAAGCAAGCACGCATTTACAGAAGCTAGACTGCAGGGTTAAAATTTCAAACAGCAGTTTGCATGTAAGATGGCTGCTCCAGAAAGACAGGCACTGCTGATAAGCCTTAGGTGCAGAAAGGGAGTCGGCCTGGCCAGCACCTGGCTTCTCACCTACATTAATACCTTCCAAAGTGTTTTCCAAAAGATTACTATCAGTGTAGTAGTCAACTATTTTCTTTCAAAATACTAATAAAACAAAATGACTAAGGTGTCTCATACCTTGCTTCAGAAATACTATAAATTCCTTCACAGTCTGGTCTAAATTAACTCCTTGATATACCACAGGTTTGAAGTTCCGATGCTCAAAGGAACGAATGAGGCGAACTGTGATGGTCACTTCTTTGGAAGCCATGTGAAGAATCTCCTGTGGCAAGGGACACGAGAACAGTCTGTATAACACCAACTCAAAGCTATGGCCTGCATTTCTGCCATCAGCTCCCTACACCTAGATCATGTCTCCCATACTGTCTGGCACAGCCCCCACACCAACGCTGACTCTCGGGCACACACGAGAGTCCAAGATTACCCCCACCTACCCGCTGTCACCTGAACAGCCTCGTCACAGCTGCTGATAGTCTGACTGGCAGAAAACTGATGGCACGGAAGATGAACACAAGTGACATGTGGGGTGGGGAAGACTCAGGTTCACGTGTGGGGACCAGCAGGGGTTGCCAAGGACAGATACCTGGCATACACACAGCTGCCTTAGATTTGCTATGCGGGGGGGTCTCCTCAGTTGGCCCCGAGATGAAATATGTTTATATCAGAGTCAACTATGAGCAGACCACATCTTAATCTCACAAATGCTGCCAGATTTCAGTGTTGATTTAATTATATGCCATAGTATCAACAACCTCTCATACTATTGTTTAATGTGTTTATTTCATCCTAAAACCATGTACTAGGGCCATGTGCCAGGTGTTAATGTTACTGCGTTTTATTCTATCACCAAGTCATAAATTATTACACTCATTTTAAGGATGAGAAAACAGACCCAGAGAGATTGTACAAATTGCCCAAAGTCATAAAGTTTAAACAAAAATTTAATTTCTAAGTCCAGGCTCTCTCTAATATACTACCAGAAAATCACCAGAATTATTTCCTCCAAAAATCTGCAGAGTTGCCAATGCTTTAATGACACAACTACAGTACATTTCTAACTAGTAGTAACCACCTCGTGCTTCTTTCAACTTTGTATACAACTTTCAGCCATAATATAGAAATGCTAAGAAAAAATACCTATGAAACCTAAGAAAAGATGTCCAGTCTCAGTAGTAATCAGGGGAATTAAAAATAACAATGAGATATATCACTCATCAAACTGAAATAAAGTCTGACAATGGCCAGTGTCGGCAAGGGTGCAGAACTACGACAATTTAATCAGTGAAGGAGCGCATCCAAATGGTTACTACTTTAGAAATGGTTGGCAATACTTAGTGCAGCTGAGCACACACATACCTTTCAATCTAATGATTTCATTCGCAGGTAGTACGCCACCTATGTGCACAGGGAGAACTGTAAAAGAACATTCATAGCAACATTACTGTTAATTATAAAAACTGGAAACAAATGTCATCAAGAGAACAACAGATAAGTAAATCATGGATAGTACAGTCAATAAAAATGAATGGACTAGAACTATATACCTCAGCATAGGGGAATCTCAAAAATATTATGGTGAATGAAAAAATGGTAGTCAAAGAATCAGAGTATATTACCATTTATACAAAGTTGAAAAACATAGCTGTTGTTATGTGGAAAAGAAGGTAATTACTGTATTTTTCCATGTATAAAACGCTATTTTTTTCTAAAATCCTTAGACTGAAAATCGAGGGGTGTCTTATACACGGAAGTCAGTGGAGGAGTGTGCCTAGGTGCTCATACCTTGTCAAATAGGCTTCCTCCAATCATGAGCTTTATTGTCACTGACGTCAGCTGATGCTGTAATTGGAGGTGGAGGTGTAGAGTGCACAGATGCAACAGGGACCGGAATGTTCTGAGTCTATAAAGATGTCAAAAAATAGAAAGATAAATACCAGTAAGTGATTGTCTTACTATGCAAAATTCAAACTGAATGTCATCAGCTCTGCAAAAGAGCAAGGAAATAGAGCTGCAGAGACACAATTTGGACCTCCTCCCAGAGTGTCTTATCATACAGTGGAGAAAACAGGAAGAACAACTTCTGAAGAAGCCAAAAAATAAGGCCTTACATAACCAGCAAAATGGGCAAAAGTGGAGCTGAGGCTTAAGACTTGGATTATGGAGCAGCACCAGAGTAGCTTATGTGTGTCAACCACACTTATTCAATGTCAGGCAAGATTGCAAGCGAAATGAACATTTGATTTTTATAGAAAAGGCAAAATGGTGCTTCAATTTCATGAAGAGAGAAGGGCTGGCCATGAGAACACGAACAAAGTTAGCTCTGAAAATTCCACCAGTTTATGAGGATGGTCTCACATATATGGACAGTGACTCAGAAGACAGCAGTGATACAATAGAAGTTGAAGAAATCATTAAGTCTGGAACTAACAGTGATGAAGGAGAGAGCAGTGATGCAACAGAGGCTGAATAAAGTGATATGCTGCATAATATCATAGTACTGGTATGTAGACATTACCTTTGATAATTACTAAATAAAAATGTGTTATGTTTTATGTTTAAAATATTGACTTCTTAATTTTGGGTTGGAAAAGTGGGGGGCATCTTAACATGGGGGTGTCTTACACACAGAAAAATACGGTAGCTGTCATGTTTGAGAAAGATGAAGAACACATGCACTTTGCTATCCATTTATGTCCTGAACAGGACTTAGGTATATGGAGAGTAATGTTATACTTTATGCCTTTTAGCATATCTGAAATGTCTCACAATAGACAGCAACAAGCCATACTAATTTGGCCTATAAAGTCTCTCTGAATCATAGAATGCTTATACAAATATTTACTAGGTTTGAGAAAATATATAGCATATTATATATAGAAATAAAAATTCAAGCAGTTTTAATACATAAAATAAATTATAATTATAATTAGCATACTATAAATAAATGAATGGTTCCTAAGGACTAGAATATTTTCCCTCTAAAATAATGTTTCGCCTTATAATCTTTAATGAGTTTAAATTAACAAATATTTTGATAATCCCAATACTAGCTACTATACTATCTGTATTTTATATATATATATATATACACATATATAATTTTATTGATTTCAGAGAGGGAGGGAGAGAGAGAAACATTAATGATGAGAGAGAAGCATTGATCAGCTGCCTCCTGCATGCCCTCACTGAGTATTGAACCCACAACCCGGGCATGTGCCTTGACTGGGAATTGAACCGTGAATTCCTGGTTCATAGGTCAATGCTCAACCACTGAGCTATGCCAGTCAGGCTATGCTATTTGTTTTAAATCTAATTTACAATGCTCCCCAAAATTCTGATCCTAGAACCTAACACATAATAGTAGTTTGGCTAACATCTACAAAATTATAATTTAAAATAGAAAAAGTTCTTTATTTCAGAAGCAGTGTTAACAGGTGTTTAAGAATTATGACTTCTTGCCCCTCTCACCTACCCGCCCCCTCCAACAATATCGATGCCCTCCAAACACACCCACACACATGCTCACACAAACCGGGAAGGCCTAGAACACAGTCCCAGGCCCAATGAGGTTAGAGCTAGACAGGTGTAGCTTTCACATCCAGTCTATCTCTTAGCCACAACGCACACTCAGATCACACATAGAAGGATCTCAATAAAAAGTAGCTGCTCTTATTGCTTGTCTACTTATGATAAAATAGGTTTGAGTATAAGACAGCTCATACAGGCAGCAGATAAAGATACTAGATTCCCAGGTACAATGAAACAAATCATGTAAATGATCTAACAGAGGAAGCCAGATAGGCCGGCAAACGCATGCCTATGAAACTGTTTTATAATTGTAGGGTGTGTGCTTTTCTCCACTTAATATAAAGCTGCCCAAATGTTGTACTTAAATAGTTGAGGCTTTCAATTATGTTGTGTTAATATCTAATTTTGGTCAACACTGTACTGTCATCTTCATAAAAAATTTGTTTATATACTCAGTAACTAAACAATAATTGATATTATCAGAAGGAAAGAAAGCATTATCTATGTTGCCTTAAAGATTATGGGAAATGCTGCTGGTTAGCTGAGGGAGGCAGACGTACTAAATAGATAGCTTATAAAGCTAATATTACAGATTATAAAATGACAATTTCCCCAGAAGTTTACCTTACATAAAAAAAAATTCAATCTAAAGAAGTTTAAAAACAATTCTTCAAATGAAGAGACAGAGAAACCAAAAACAATAAACCTAGAGATAAATAATAAAAAATAGTCAAGCCTATAAAAAAAAGATTTAAATAAATGAAATAGACCATGTTCCTAACTATGAAGTCTCAAAATTATAAGAAATAAATTTTCTATAAATTGAAGAATATCCCATTCAAAATATACAAGAGTGATTTGGGGAACTTATCAGAAATATTTCTAAAATCCATCTGGTAGAATACATTTATTTTATTTTTTAATTAACAATTTTTTTCTATTATAGTTCACATTCAATATTATATTTGTTTCAAGTGTACAGCATAGTGGTTGGACATTTATGTAGTTTATGAAGTTATCCCCCAATAAGTCTAGCACCAGATATAATTACTATAATATTATTGACTATATTCCTTATGCTGTATTTTACATCCCTATGACTGATTTTATAGCTGGCAATTTATACATCTAATTCCCCTTTTTCAAAGAAGAATACATTTGTGAACTTATGAGCAAAGTCATAAAAGAAAAACGAGACCAGCAGCACCAGTTATTAGTATACCCTGTAAAGTAATAGTTAAACATAACAGTAATATATAAGAAAGCTTATAAGATTTTCATACATCTACAAAATCAAATAACAAAAATTGTAAAGGATAATTAAGGTAAAATAATTTAAGCTGTGATACTGAAACAGGACTCAGCTCACAAATCAGTGAAACATAACAGAAAACTCAAAAACAGATATAAGATTAAAAACTAGAGGCCCAGTGCACGAAATTCATGGAGTGGGGGCGTGTCCCTAAGCCCAGCCTGCACCCTCTCCAATTTGGGACCCCCCTGGGATCGGGCCTAAACGGGCTGTCAGACATCTCTCTTGTAATCCAGGACTGCTGACTCCCAACAGCTCGCCTGCCTCTGCCTGAGGGGTTAGGGGCACGCTTCTGCCTGCCAGCCTGATCACCCCCTAACCACTCCACTGCCAACCTGATCAACACCTCGCTGCTCCCCGGCTAACCCAATTGCCCGTAACTGCCTTCCCCTGCAGCCCTGGTCACCCCT